CATTGTCCCTGGATGTAGTGCTCAGTCTGAAAGAAGTTGTGGGTTTACAACATATGAGAATATCTGTATTGCTTGCAGTGTTGATAGTGATGAAGATGAAGATCAAGAGGTAAGTTGTGGTCCGAGCAGCAACCTTTTACTCTGTGGACAACACTATCGTGTTGTCCATCATTACTGTAACCCTGAGGAAGATGTTCAATGTTACCTATGTGGTACCAGGAGTAAGCATAGAGCCTGTTCCTGACCTAAGTGTATTGAGGCAATTCTGCATGAAGCAGGAAATTTCGAAGGATCTCTTGACCAAGGCATTGTTTGTGCGGCATGCTACGTGTTTTGCCAAAGTGCACAAAGACAGCACAAGGACACTCGGTCTAATGAAGTGATAATCTCTGAACTACGACGTTGTACTGAACAGGTGCAAGCGTTACGGCATGCAGCAGTCGAAGATGCAGCTGTGTGAAAAAAGCCCATGTGTTTGGAGCTGGCTGTAACTGCAAAAACATGCAATAATGCTCCAAATTCAACACCTACACATACTCAGTTCATGTGTGAACAACATCTGGTTGAAGAGGAGGAATTAGTACAGGACATGCAACTACGTGAGAGAGAAGGTGACGAAATAGTGCATGTCAATGAACAAGAATTACTTGGCGATGTGCTAGTTGTTGTAGAGAGCCAACAAGAAGAAGAGTTAGAGGAAGAAGAGGATTACACCACTAGTTCAGATGAATGTATCTCTCATTTCTTACCTCATCCCATAGCCTACCTCATCCATCCCTCTGTGTATACTTCACTTCCTCTAATGTGTATGGCTACAGGTATAGGTTAACGCCTGGTTCTGGCGATATACCTGAAGCTGTTTACTCCAGTGGAGTTAAACAGTTGAGGGGATATCCCAAGGTGTTAACCTATTTGTAGCCTTACGTCATCAAAATTTTGCCAGGATTGTGAGAGAAATCGGTGGGCGAGACGAGGGAAAGGAGGCCGAGAGCGTGCTTGCGTGAGCCCATGCTGCCTGTTGACCGTTTGTTCGAGCGAGTACTACTTTAGCTAGCGGTTGAGCGTAGTGTAGCGTGCAATTGTAGCAGGCTGCTGTAGCACGGACCAAGCAGAGAAGACAAGACGCCGCGCAGACCTGGAATGACGTTCTTTGGAGTCTCCTTCGTATACCACATACGCTACAGCTCAGCTATGGTGCAGCTAAGCCTGAAAACAGCATGTTCAAAAACGACACAAGTGACGCACGGTACACAGCAGCTCCAGCTCTTGCCCTTTTCTGGCTTGCGAGCGATCTTCTAGCTTACTGGCTTGCCACTTTTCCCCTGCCTGCCAGCTTGGGATGTAGCCACAGCCATCTACAGCTTACCAAGAAAGGTCACTGGCCATTGTTTGCTTATTAGATGGTGAGTAAACTGTGGCTACCCAGCAGTGCCTTTGAAGATGAGCAAAACTAGGCTACAATGTTGCTTTATCACTATACTATACCATCCGTATTCACGCACTTGTTTGTCAGTCCTTACCCGGCCTTCACCTACAGTTTCTGCATATTATGTAGTACTTTTCAGGGGCTTTCTAGTGGTACTGGTTTCAGACCCTGAAACGGGGGCGGACAAAAATGTACTAAGGTCAACCGTACCCACGTCGATCGAGTCGAAATCGAGCGTCGATCGCTTGGCGGTCATGCCGGGCGAAATTTAACGGCCCAATGCCGAAACTATACTGCCAAGAGATGGTATATACATTATGTACCTAACTGGCTTAGCTGCCTAGCTTCCTCCATTGCTTGAGAAGAAACCGAGAAACGCACCGGAAGTTGTAAGTGAGAAAATTACACGATGGAATGCGGCTACGTAGAGAAATTCTGTTTTCTCCGTAATCTGTATGCTTGCATATCGACTGCTCATTTCTGAGTAGTGAAACATTTCATCACTCAAGTCTATTTGGGGCATTTGTGTAAACTTAGGAAGCCAAACAATTCCCACTATGCCTAGCACCAGATGTTGTGATAAGGACTTCAATTGATACTGGTCACCCCGCAGCTCAGAATAGGGGGGTGGATTGTTGGATTGTGTGAAGTTGGACGATGTTGCACATCAGTGTACCAAGCTTCACTGTTAGAAAACACATTTTACAAATTTTTATTTCCTGAAGCTGTTTGTTGTTGTTTACAAACTTGTAATGTTTAAATTTTAATACTAATAATGATGGGTTGCACATGGTTTTAGTATTGGCATTAGCTACTTATCACACTACATTAGCCTATGTATATCTTAATATCTTAATGTATGACATAGGGCAATTTTTGGGAACAAAAATTTCAATATGACGGTGCACACCCGGCAATCAGTTGTACAAAGTTTCACCTCCATACCTATCACGATTTTTGAGATACGCCTGTCAAAACTGAACAGGACAACAAACACCAACAATGGACTTTCTTGAATAAATCAAAGACTACTTGGACTACTTATCCAATTTACGTAGTTTTTTAGGTACATGAATTATGACCATTAGACTGTATCAGAAGTCAGATTAGATCGAAAATAAGTGTAATTTGATTTTTCAAATGTATGGACATAATGCTGATGCACCCCAAGTACTACTGTATTTAGCGATATACATACATGGAACACTTTTCACACACTTTGATGTTGGGTTTTGCCAGATACAAACATTGAGTCACAACTTACCAGTAGGCCAGGTGTTAGAGGGTTGGTTCACTACCTGCATTGCAGCAACGAGCTGCCACAGTCCTTCGTGGACGCTCCCACTCTCCCCCTTCACTTCCCCCACCACCACAGCGCCTCCCCCTCCAGGTTCTAATAATCACGTGGACTACTCCAGTAATCAGGGGGCGTTCAGAGTGGATGCCGCACCAGTCCTTGTAAGGATTGTGAGTTGTTGAGGCTGCAACTAAGTAGTCTTGCGTCGGATGTACCGTTAGGAGCTCGTACAGCAAAAACTTCCCACATCCCTTAGCAAAGAGGTCTCTTCTTTCTCTCGTTTTGCCATCCAGGACTACCGCCCGAAGGTATTTGAATATGCGAAGGAGTGGCCCTCCATTTTCCTCCAGTACACGGAGATTCAGGTGTTCCTCCGAATGTTTTTCGGTAGAAAAAAACCTCGTGTACATTTCACACACGTTCAACCAGTCTTCTTCGCATAAACCTCCCTGGACTATGGGTCTCACGCTCGGACCCCTCCGGCTTCGCCCACTAGGCAGAACAACGTTGGTATAATATTTCATCGTCGTAACCCAGGAGAAGGTCGGTTTACCGTGCGTCCCTTTCGCGTACGCTGTTGTTGCCATTACGCTGTCGGCAACTTCTTCAACGGAAAAACCGCACTTTGAACTGGATGACTCACAAAGGAACGCGCTTTTGCGAGCGCGGTTCGCGGGGTTATAGGCCGCCGGCCGGCCCAGGCCGGAGCAGTGCGCATGCGCACCTAGGAGATGACGCACATCCACCCGGACCAAAACCATTGACCAAGAGCACGAAAAAGACCTTTTTGCCAAAGGCTGCGGCAAACTCCTGTTATCTTACTGTGTATCCCACCCATGACTACCTGGTTGCGATCGCAACCACAGACGATTGGTGTGGGATCAACTCAGACGTTCCCCAAATTTCTGTAGTAGTGGGACCTGGTAATCAGAAGGTGGACGAGAGAAACTGTGGTGGTGGGGGAAGTGAAGGGAGAGAGTGGGAGATTTCACGAATGGCTACGGCAGCTCGTTGCTGTTGCTATTGTAATGCACCAAGAACAGTGTATGCTGTTTATGTAGTTCTCTTGTTATCTGACGGCAATGTATGTATTTTACCATAGACCACATTTTGCTTTTGTCCCAACTAGGCTAGGAACCTCAAGAATCTTAAGAACTGTTCTGTTAACTTTGGGTCTTGGTATAGGGTTCTTAACTCTCAGCACGCATTTATGTATGGTGTGTGTCTTTCCATCTCTCTGTCCGTGTTTCGCCCAAGATCTGTACATAGCTACGTATTTAGGTTAACAGACAAGCGAGGCGGTGGCGCAGCGCTGGCGTATACACACAAAGCAGTCCCACCGTGTGATTAGTGCCAAAACCACCTTTTGCACCTTATGTGGTTTTGAGCACATTATGTATGTAGATGTTGTGGTGAGTTTGACATTATGTAGTGGATTGTACATTATGTGGTATGTAACTTCCACGTTATGCAGTGTATATTATGTGGTAACTTCCACATTATGTAGCGTATTTCACAAGTCCATTTTGTTTTTGTGTGTTGTTGTTCAACAAGCATCGCAAAAACTGGCGTCTTTGCACAACAATTGTTGAATCCATGACAGAATGCAAGAGCATTGTTTGTAACATGTACAACACAATAATAGCCCCACTATACATTTTGATATAGACCAAAAATTACTGGCGAGCAGTTGCAACGGATTCTAAATAGCTGACAACCCAAATACTCTAGACTCGTGTTTCTTCACATCATGCGTGAGTTCATCGCCTACGTACACATTCATTGTCATGGGTCCGGATATCCATCTACGACCACAAAGCTTCCAGGAGGCAGCTTCTCACCCAACAGCGCTTTTCTCTGCGCAAGGGAACGGCGACTAGAATTAAAGTTGTGACATCACTAACTAATCCCAACCAACCAGCCTGTATAAAGGGAGGATGCTGTACTAACATATTGGGCATTTGTTTATTGAGGTTTGATGTAAACCAAATAGTGGTTGATCTGTGTACGTATGACATTTTTATGCAGTGATGATGCACTATTTACTATATAGCAAGACTTCATTTGTGGTGGTCTCTCCTGCTATTCAGTACAAAGCCTGGCATAGGGATTGCAAAACTGGAGTAAACTTTACCATAGTGGGTGACTTACGCATCTCACCCCTGTCTTCAACCCTATTCCCATTGCTATGCTAGACAGTGTGGTTACATATACATATACAGCACACAAAACTAAGGGATCCTTGGATGTATGTGTCAATCACAATGCCTATAAACGTGGGGCCAGCTGATGAGTCCTCCCACTAAATATGAGGGACGTAAACCATCTGTGAGGATTGCTCCCCAGGGATGGTTCCCGGCATATGTATGTATACAGATATACCCTTTTCACAACGGTCAGACCAGCGTACCGGAAGTCCTATTGTGCACATACAGAATGGAAGGGAGGGAGGGAGTGAGATGCACTAATTTTCATGCGTAGTACATACGAATTTCGCCTACAACAGAAAAATTTATTGCTACGTCAAATTATCCGATGCTGGACTAAGAATCACACACAGAGTGAGTGTGCTATAGCACAGTGGTTTGAGGTTTGCCTTGTGTTGACGGCATACCAGCTGAGTTGACCTGGTAGCTCAGTTTGTAGAGCACTCACCTAGACTGCAGAGTGGTGCGGGTTCGAATCCCACCTATATTCTGCATTTCCTATAAATGAAAGAGCTCTTGGGTGTAGTTGACTCGTTTGCTTTGCCTAGCCTTTGTACTTCGCTACCTAAGTGGTTGACACATGAACTTCATTATGACCTGCAAAGGAAATAAAGCAACCAGGAACCATCTCTGGGGCATCATCCAGAGAATGATTTTCGTCCATTACTTATATAGCGGGAGGACTCATCAGCTGGTCCCACTAGATAGATAGATAGATAGAGAGAGAGAGAGAGAGGGAGGGAGGGAGGGAGAGATTTTTAACAGGAGTAAAAAAACTCAAACTTAGGTTTTAGACACTACCTTTTAGCTATATATTATAGTAACCACTGTTAGGGGAGAGAGAGAGAGAGAGAGAGAGAGAGCCCATCCATGTTGAGACCATTCAACTGTCCAAAGTCAGAAGAAGGATGGGCGGAAGCCGACCAACATATGGCTGCTGTGGTAGTGCCAGAGGTCATTTCAGCAACCTCAGTTGAGGAGAAGAACCTTGCTCTGTGTAGGGGAATTTATTCTTTCTTCTCTGAGAGGTATGGATATCGCAGGTTGGCTCGGCAGGGAAGGGCGAAGGTGACAAAGCAGAAATCTGGTACTTCATTAGAGGAAATCAAGGGTCAGAGAAACAAACTCAGGAATGATCTAAGGAGAGCAAGAAAGGATGGCCAGGACACAGAAGCCATAAGATCTCTGGCTTCTAAATTCCACAAGCTTCTCCGTCAATACTCTGCCATCAAGCGAGATCAGCACCGTGCATCAGAGCGTTTCAACCTCCAACACTGTGTTCCAAGGTCATGGAAGGAGGGTGTGGTATGTCTGATTGCAAAGCCGGCTGCAGTGCAAAATCCCCATGCTCCTGCGAACTTCAGGCCCATTGCACTCACCTCCTGCGTTGGGAAGGTGTACACCTCAATCTTGAAGAACAGATGGCTGAGTTTTGTGGTGGGGAATGGGTATCTGGACACTACCACGCAGAAGGCATTTCTCCCTGGTGTTCCAGGTTGTGTGGAGCACTTCCAGAAGCTGTCGGCCATGATTGAGGATGCCCACAAGAAGCACCGCTCCCTAGTTGCTCGTTGGCTAGATCTGTATGGTAGTGTTCCCCACCAGTTGATTTCCTTCTGCCTCAAACACTACAATGCTCCACAATCATTCTTGGAGTCAGTTGCAGATATCTACGATGGCTTGAGTGCTGTCATCACCACCAAAAAGTGGAGTACTGCTCCTGTTTCGCTAAGAAAGGGAGTGTACCAAGGAGACCCACTTTCTCCCAACATCGGTCATGGCAACCTTGTCAGACTCTCTGAAGAATCTAGCTCATTGTGGATATCAACTTTCTGGCAGTAATATCACCACCAACATCCTGCTCTATGCTGACGACGCATGTCTGGTAGCAGCAGGAGCTCAGTGTCTCCTCTCTCAAGTTGGCAAGTGGCTTGATTGGACAGAGATGAAAGAAAAGGTTCAGAAATGCTGCACACTTGGCCTACAGGCCTCATCAGTGAAGATCTACAACCCTGAGCTACAGTTGCAGGACCAGATCATTCCCTATGCTGGAAAAAAGTCCATTCCATTCTTGGGGGGAACCGCCTGTTGATCGGAAAACATCAGTGGAGGGGAAGCTGACTTCTATGTTGCAGAAAGTGGACAACACAGCAGTGCCAGGGAAACAGAAACTCCTCCTATACAAGGCTGGAATATGCCCACGCCTCAACTGGGTCCTAGCCACCTCGGACTTACCTGTGTCGTGGGTCTCCTCAGTTATAGAAGCATCTACGACCAAGTACTTAAAGAGATGGGTAGGTCTGGCACGGTCAGCTAATACAGCCTACCTCTACCTACCGAAGAAGGAGGGAGGGTTGGCATTGCCTCCTATCTCCCTACTGCACAAGAAGCTCAAAGTGTCCAGGGGAGCTCTACTTCAGAGACAGTTCGACTAGGCGGCTGGCTTCAGCCATGATCAGGAAAGAGGAGAGCCTGCATGGTGAGACCCATCTTCAGCCCACTATCTCTCGCCAGGGATGTCATGAGAGATGACCCTGGAGTTAGAGGGAGAATCCTGGCCAAGCGAGCAAGGTCAGTCATTGCCGCTGAAGATGCCATGGCCAGAAGAGAGCAGACAGAGTCACTGGCCTCTCAAGGGGAAATGATGAGGTCCACCACATACGCTTCTGACATCTGGGCTACAGCAGTCACCTCCCTCACTCCGGAGTGCCTCGAGTTCTCCCTGAACGCGGCTACTGACACCTTACCACACAACAGCAACCTGTCCAAATGGCGCAAGGACAGGTATCTGAGAACTGTAAGTTGTGTGGGTTAAAACAGACTTTACACCATGTACTCAACAACTGCAAGGTGTCCCTGAACATGCGCCGCTACAACCATAGGCATGACCAGGTGTTGGGTGTGATTGCTGAGATGGCCTGCACCAACCTAGCAGAGAACTATCAGTTGACTGTCGACCTGGGCAGTGATAACTACCACTTTCCTGCCCACATCGCTCTCACCAACCTCCGCCCGGACCTGGTCATATGGTCTGATGTTAACAAGCACCTCGCCATCATCGAACTAACAGTCTGCTACGAAACCGGTTTTGAGGAGGCTGCCTCCAGGAAGATGAAGCGATACTCTGACCTAACTTCAGAGGCAAGAGAGAGAGGCTACCAATCCCTGACTATTCCAGTTCAGGTAGGGAGTAAAGGAGTCCTGGAAGAAGATGGACTAGGGCAGCTGAGAAAGATCCTCAATCCAGTCTCAGACAAGGCATGGAAAACATTCCTAATGTCGCTGACAAGATGCGTGATTGAGGAGTCCCATAAGATCTGGATCCTCAGGAATAAGAAATAATTATTAACTCTAAACATCTACATGGATGGGTCTTTGAACTGTGCGGTGTTTTCGTGGAACACTAGTAAAACAGTAGACTTATCCATGACCTCCTCCTTTGTACACTTGTATTGCAAGGTCAAGAAGGTTTTCTTAGTGGAGAGAGAGAGAGAGAGAGAGAGAGAGAGAGAGAGAGAGAGAAGAAATTTAACCCGACCAAGTTCGCACTGAACGCGTCCCTCAACCCACTCCCCACTAACGCCGTTCTCCATACGTGGGGAAAGAAGCCTAGAGACACCTGCACCCTTTGCAGAGACCACCGGCAGTCCCTTCTCCATATTCTGAACAGCTGCCAGGTCGCTATGGATCATATTAGTGTCAGAGCTAAGACCAGACTCCTGAAGGCATACAACACAACTGTCAGTGTACTCATTGTTGGTTGAACCATTTGCCGAAAGAGTCCATTAGCTTGAAACTGACATACACCGCTAGTGATACGGAATCTCTGAATTCCTCCAAATTTTGCCGAGTAGCTAAATATTTGAAGGTGCATATGGGTTGCTATGCATCAATTAGTGTGTCCATAACATAATGATTGTTAGTAGAACCACATGCCAAAAGAATCCACTAGCTTGAAAGTGACACTAATGATACTATGGGAATTCCTCCAACTGTTGCCAAGTAGCTAAATATTTGAAGGTGCATAATTATATATAACAAAAATGAACGACAGCATCAGATGCTCTATTGCTAGAAGCAAGACATTAAATCTTGTCTATAGCGACTGTTGCATGGTGACCATCACACTGCACTGATCTCTGTTCCGACTGTTGAGTGCCTGTGTACCGTGCACAAAAGTAGTATATTATTAAACCTTAGTATACATGTACCAGCTGTAGCTATATATACGTTCCTTTTTTAACCAACTAGGTAACAAAACAGTGGTTGCCTAGCACTGAAGCACTCAGCAAATATTAACCTCCGGTAGCCGCATATTTTTTAACTTACCACCTAAAATTCCATCACTAACTAACCAGATAATAAAACAGGATATTATTCAGCTCCCTCGCCAAACATCTCCGAATGGCCAGCCTTCCAGCAGGAAGTAGGCAGTCGTCATCGAGACTGTTTGAAAGCACCCGAATAACTCAGAAGGTTGCATAAAACCCAAGTGAGCTAACCCACGCTGCGTACACACGCACTTGCTATCCACGGCAACGCGTCGTGCCGCATGGCATTCCTCTCTTACGATTCGTTTGCCCATAATTATTATACCGCTTGAGCGCCAGTGGGTTAACCATTACTAATCCCTGCCTAACTAAGCTCTTTACTAACACCTCAGGGGCACTCACGGGTCTTGGACCTTGCTACTGCTGAGACAAAGACGCCACGCCCGATAGCAGGTGGCCAACTCACTGATGGATGTTCAAGTTGGAAAGGCAACTCTCGATGACTCCAAAGCCCTATATGCTATTCATGTTGCTTCCGTCGGTTGTCGTGAATGTCGGTCAATGTACACTGTTGAGTATCTTGAAGCTAAATTGAGCTCCCTCAATGCCGAAATGTATGAGATACCAATACTAAACGGTGAAGTGTTAATGGCTCTCAAAGGGAAAACTATAGTTGGCTTCGGTCGTATCTCAGTTGAGACTGAGAATCTCTGTCAGCTGCATTGGCTCTTTGTACATCCAACCTACTTTAAAACGGGAGTAGGAACAAAACTATTATACGAGATGGAGAAAATTGCGAGGTTGGCTAAGTGCACATCAATTAGTGTCAAATCATCCCTAAACGCTTTTACTTTTTACAAGAAAAGAGGATATCGGATTCAAAAAACCTTTGCGGACACAATCTTGATGATGAAAATGTTCAATTAATGGCTGATCATGTTAGTGATTAATTTAGTTTTTAGTTATTGTCTCTCTGTGCATACTGTTGAAACTAAAAAAAGACTTATTGTAGACGATAAAGTTACATGTTTCTGTAGATGATGTACGTGATCTTGTCTCTTTCGTGTGAAAATTTTACATGGTTTACTACGGAGCGTACTACAGGAAATCAAGTACCTCGTGTGGACCAATCAGATTGCATCAGCTATGCACTAAAACATTATCGTTCTTCATCGGGCTCTCCTGCTTTTGCCCACAAACATTATACCACCATCAGTGATTGCAGTTTTCTGTCTCCTTGTGCTGGAGTTTATATTCCTTCTGTTGGTAGTTCTCTCATTGAAAGCACAGCAATCATCAACCTACCTTTACCTGTTCCACTGATGAGAACGTGGTGGGGGTATTTTCAAAATGGCTCATGCTTCTTTTGCACTCAAATCAAGCGTTACTACAATGAATGCATTGTCGAGCAAAACCAGCAGTTTTATATTATTTCTAGCGTGTTTTATGTTGCATGGAAACTGAACAGCTCACGCTATATACATAAAAAGAAAGAAAGAAAAAGAGAAAGAAAACAGGACTTCAAATGGGCTACAATTAACATGCAATTATATCCATAAGGGCTTACTTGGGACTAGCAAAACACGCAAGCTGATGCACGAAGGTTGTGAAATGACTACAACAGACGGTACAGGCGGTATAAAAGTTATCAAATGGTATCAAAAATAATCTGCGACATATATATGTATAATCCATAGGAACACAGCAGCACAAAAAAACATTATATGAGGTAAAACAAAAGTGTAGGGCAGTACCATTAGAGAGGGTCAGCTAGCAGGCATGCACAAGGTAAACATAGGAGCGAACGGCACGATATTTTATGCGTTCAACTGCACATTTTTAGCTCGGTACATCCTTGTGCTCGGTACATTACTCTGGCTTCAGAAAATCACAGTTAAAACGTAAAGGTGAACTATGTATCAAAAATAAGTCAATAATCAGTAACTTTAGCATTGTGTGTTTTCTTAAGCACATACATTACTCTATCCCATTCTACAGAGACATTTCCATTGCCAAAACGTTCTTTTAACATTCTTAAAGTGCTGCTGTTAGTTTCTCCGGAAGTAACATGGACGGATGCTAATACGAAGTCAATGTATTGCTGAACATTGTCAAAGGTGTACACAATTTCATCGACTGAACTGTACTCCACAAAAAAAACATATTTTGATGCAAGGGATTCATATACCTCTTTTGAACATAAGTAATCAGTCTGGTCTTCCGTTGGTGTCACTATCTCCCACACACTTGATGGAAGAGTTAAGCAACACAAAAATGCAAAATGTCCACCAACTTTTAATTGATCATAAACCCTCTGAAACACTGAAGATTTATCTTTTATTGAGTGCAGGACATGGTTAGAGAACACAGTATCATATGGACCATTGGGGAAATTTTCACTGTTTGTTTCTAAGAATACGATATTCTTCTGCATGCTATACTTTTTAATGGCAACTTTCAATCTATCTTTATCAGGATCAACTGCCGTAACGCTTCCTTTTTCTCCAATTCGTTTAGCAATGATACTTGCCAAAAACCCTGTTCCACACCCTAAGTCCAGCACACCAGCACCTTCACTTAGAGGAACCTTCTCAACCAGATCAATTCCATCGTTACCTTGGCATTTGTATCGAACCTCATCATACATTTCTGCCATACCCATAGCTATATAACTTCGTTGCATTTTCCAGGTAGCTGCAGGATCGCAAGAGGATTGGACTGGGACCTCCACAGTGACGATGGTGTTTTCTCTTGTTCTATTAGCTGACAGATCGGGACAATCGGAGTATGTTCCGACTAATAGCAGACCTTACTCACAAGGTTGTCTAGCGGAGACCAGGGTGTCTACGATGATAGCTACCTATGCCTCTGGTCTACACCCGATAGGTTCGATGCCAAACAATAGGTGGTCTGTATGGCAGTCTAGACTCATAATAAAGAAGAAGAATGTAATTTGGCACGTAGAATAGCTAAGCCCACTCGCGGAGCCACGCTTTCTCGGGAGAGGAGAAGGTGGGCCGGTGCACTGCCACGAACCGCAGAAGAATTTTTGGCGAAACGGGAGCGATCAAACTCCGACATCCTATGGTAGGCATGAACAACAGGGGGCATTATAGGTATCTTTATTATGCCGTGTATGAGTCTGCTGGGTGTGATGTTGTTTTTGCCCTCGCATTTGCAAGTCTTTGCGCTCCTCGGCTGCTTTAGCAATGCCCCATACGAAGGCCACTACTCCATTTTCATGCTCTTCGATGGCCCTTTTGGTATATATCAAAGTTACAGGGCAACAGTACGCTTAATTTTAAGGACCCTGCCGCAGCCACACAATTATAACGTGAATGTTCCAAAATCCATCCCCAAAACATTGGGTTTGGAGTAGTTGCAGGATATTGAAAATGGGGGGATTGCTCCTTGAGGGCTTTGTCTATAGTAGGAGACAGTATCAATACGAAAGTGATTAGAAAGTTTGAAAAGGGGCTAAATAGCACAGTAAAAGCTATCATTGTATAAGACATTTAAGAAGGTTGTAGAGTATTTGCGTGGGGCAAGTGATGCTTGGTCTAGATTAATGTTTAAGTTCAGGTCAGGCACGCATGGGCTAAATGAGGAGCTGGGTAGGCATATTTAGGGGGAAGGAGGAGAGAGAACGAGTCCTTGTTGTGTGATGATGAGTGTGAAAGTGTTAGTCGTGAGTTGTGGGAGTGTCCAGCATACAAAAGTATTAAGAGGAATTTCTCAGGGGAAGCCTGGGGATGGGTTTGAGCATTTCCAGTCGCTCTATTGTTTTGGGAAAGCATCCTTTCTTTATTTTGGGCATTGACCTGTGGGAGTATAAATTTGGTTCTCTGCTATTTAGTGTATCCATGGAAACAGCAGCAAAATTAAAAATGCATATGTAGGCACTCATTTAGATAGTAAGAAACTGTTTTAATTTCTGGTTGGTGATTTTGAAACATGCAAGTTTGCAATAGAATGTGGTGCCAGCTTTATTCTCAATGAGCCTTTGTACATGTGTAGGCACACATTTAGATAGTAAGATACTGCTTTAATTTTCTGGTTGGTGATTTTTAAACATGTGTAGCTAGTGGCCAGTCTATTTTATGGTTAGTTTGCAATAGAATGTGGTGCCAGCTTTTATCTCAATGAGTAAGGGAATCTGTGGCTACCATAACTACAATACGATTTCCTAACCTCTCTAAACTCTTGAAATGCTTGTTGGCATTACCAGTCTCTAATGCTGAAACACAGAAAGAGTATTTAGTATCGTTAGGAAGATTGTAACTGACTCCCACTCACTAATGGACCAATCTACTCTGTGTGCTTTGATATCTTGCACAACGATAGTGTGTTATCAGTTTGATACTCCCAATATTGTTTTGAAGGAGGCAAAGTCTGCAACAGTAAAGTAGAGCTAATTCAGCTCATTCATCTAAGTGATGTTTTATAAAACTTCTTCCATATGCTGTTGTCCCTATTTTTTATAACGAAAACCCCACATTATCAACAACATTATCCCTGTAACCAACCCTTTGGGGTTGAGATGTAGCTATGCAAAAGGCATGCCGAATTGCAGCAGGAGAAGAGGCGAGGAGGGGCAGGGGTAGCAGCTGGCATCCCGCAAGACGAGCATAGGAAGTTAAATGGGAGGTTGTGGAGTATCAATACCGTCATTACCAATTTACCGTCTGGTTCGTTTCGAGAGCGCATGGGTAATTAGCTCACTCGCCTGCGCGCATGCGCCCCGTGGTTGGCCTGCGTGTCTCTCCACCGTTTTCCCGGTAACCGCGGCAGCTCTGAGCGTGAAACGTGGATATAGTATCAGGTATGAGGCGCGCACGGTATAACATTCTGCAGCTGAGAAGGCCGGAGAAGCTGGTGAAAACGGGCGGTTGCCAAAGTGAGTGTGCGGTAAATGGACGATCGCCTTACTTACACGCCTCGCATCTTGCTGCGTGTGTATATATGTAGAGAGAAGATGGGAGGCTAGTAGCCAGGACAGGGAGTATCTCTAAGCTTACTGGTCTGCATGTAATGATGGTACAGTTGAGTAGGAGCGAGATTGCTGGAGAAGTGAGAGAGGAATCATTGAGGGAAGGACGGACAGTGTAGATAATAGCTAGTGGCTGCTGAATGTGGCTGGTAATAAAGAATGAAAGTGGGACGGTTATGTACTGTCAAGTCCTTTACAAGAGCAAGAGAAAGGTACCATGGACCAGTTTCTCCAAGACTTACAGAAACTTTACAACCTGGCCTACGCAGGATCGAGTGACCAGCAAAGCCGAACTCTCTTGGTGAATCGCCTGTACTCTAAGAAGGGCAAACGACGAGAAGAGGAAGCTCGTAGACAACGACCACAAGAGCCGCCGCTATCTACCACAACGTCTACTATGGCTGCACTCAGAATAGAAAGCAACGACAACAAGACACAATTGGAGCAGCTCGGCTTCGGCCAGCGACTGCAAGAGCTGGAGAGGAAGTTCAACCAGGAGAGCAGAATGAATCTGAATACCGTAGCTGCAGAACCACCTTGGCCCGAGTGATTCGCGTGAGTAGGGTTCCAACACAAGCTCTCATTGACACAGGATCCCCAGCCACTGTTGTCTCGTTAGAGTTTCTGCTGGATATCTTCGTCAGTACTACCGAGGGATACAGCAGGCATAAGTTGAACATTATGGCATAAATCTACCTCACACTCTCATGGGAGCCGGATAGTTGATGCCATTGTACTCATCCAAGAAGGATCACCTCACAATCTCCTTCTGGCTCTAAAGCTAGGCTTTATTCAGGAAGTCGGAGCACTTGTTCAATTCTTACCTCCCTACTCTCCGGATTAGAATCCGATTGAAGAGGCCTTTGTGAAAACAAAC